AGCCATGGAATAAATACCACAAACTAAACAGGTGAATGTCTAATGTGGAGAGTACATGCCTGTATTGATTGGAGGTCAATAAGACGTCTATGGACGAAAATACGATTATTCAGGTATCTAAAATTTTTTATACTTTGGAGTCAAACATTAGGTGGAGCAGGACTTCCGCGGAGAATTATGAACTGCCTTGTAGAGCTCGCTTTGCTTCATAGAATGATACCCTATTAGATGTTTTTTGTAGTCACTCTATCGCAGTAGGATGCTATGCGACATTATTATCCGGACAACCCATAAAATGCCGTAGATCTGTGAAACTATGATAAGCTGCTTCATGAGAGTATTGCTGTTATTTCCTCAACACATTCCCCGCAGCTCAGAGAGCGATACGAATGATTAGTTTGTATACTCCAGCCTCGCATTAAGAATGTGAGGGACCTGGATTGTCCTCTTTGTGAACTGTGAGATTCCTATCATTGGTGATCATTCGCGGCTCCCGTTGATAATTTTGAACACTCTCTCCAAGTTCCCTTTGCGACTCCGTATTCGTTCCACTTCGTCAGGCAGTGGGCAAATTCCGGCACGATGATCGTATGCAGTATTACGGCCGACATTCTTGCAATAAAAGCATGATCTAGGCTTCTGATACGCGTTCAGATGGCGTTCCAAACAGCGATGGCAGTGTCCTTCACTGTTCAAGATGGCCACTCGGTTTATGATTGAGGACTCTTGGACATCCATCTGAGAAATGCTGTACGTACTCCTTGCAAAAGATACAAATGATGAACTGGCCCATCCTCAAGCCTCCGTCACCTATTCGTCGTGCCGGGCACGAAATGAAGTCTTCCGCAGCTCCTTTCAAGCTCCTCCTGATGGTTAGCCAGAAGTTCCTCATAGTGCCGACGCTGGTCTGTGGTCTTCCGCTCTGATTGCCTCCGTTTGCTGCCTCCTGCATGATTGTAATGTCCTCTGCGATCGCTGAAGCTATCTTTGCTTGTCGTACTGCTGATCGTGGATTGAGAACATGTGTGATCTTCTCGGCGTCGATGTTCCAGCAATACCTCCTCTCTGCGGTGTCTAGGCTTTGCTTTCGAAATCTTATTCGTCAGCTGACTCAGGAACTTTGAGTTTTCTCTGCCTCTCCGGTCCTTCTTCCTTGAGTTGAGCATCAAGTTCCAGCATTGCTGCTCCAAGCAAAAGATCTTTGCTGTACTTGTCCGATATGTGTATCGAGTTCTCCTTTATGCTTTTGATATATTACTTTCGTTCCATCGCCATTTGTCTTGTCGCCTGATTGTATGTCTCCTCTATCCAGTTCCGGACTCGGTTGTGTTGTTGGCAGGCCCCTGTTTGAGTTGTGAGATCGCTATTCGAGTTTCCTCAGGTTTCTAACACTTAGTTCGGTGACTTCCACTTGGCGCTGTTCTCTTTGGCGATGTTACTCTTCCGCGAAAATTGTGAGAGTTTGTTGAACTTCTTAATAGGCCCGCATTTCCGCCGCCCTGCTCTTGATGGTTTCTTCCTCCATCATGCAAATCTTCCTTCTCGTCATACGTGAGCGTCTCGTATCCCTACGATAGGTTCGGACAATCCGGCCCAACATCCTCCTTCGTGTAACTGTAAAAACGGCTTCTGGCAGTGGGTAGCCTCGGTTTGTGGATCTCGTGGGCCTCATGGTGACGTTTTGTCCAAGCGCATCCGGATACATCAAGCGATCAATTTCCTGTGCATCTCCCATCGCAACTAGGATCTGGTACCACACATGGGGCAGATAGAATTGATATCGAATCAATGACTTAACTCTCTCAACTCGTCTAGATGCTTGGATCTCAAGTCCTTTAGCTTCAGCATATATCACGCGTACAAGGCGCGGGGGAAATTTTTCCAAAATCGACGAAGCCAATCACGCCTAAGGACTTCGTAACCAAAGGACCCTATACCTTGCTGTATATTGCTTGAAAGAATCGTACGGCATAAAATAGCTTCCCGAGATACAATGAAGCGGCTGAGCGGCTTATTTGAAAATCGAAAAAGGTGCGCCTTGTACGCGTGAAATTAGGGTAATTGATTGACTTCTTAACTGTGTATGTCATCTCCCAGCGGTTTCCTTTCAGCTCGATATAATCGAGCTCCGCTTGCGTTAAACGATCTAGTCGTAACATTTCTCGCCAAAATTCCTGATCCTCTGCTGTACCTGTGCCACTGTTGGTTTCGCCGGTGATTGTTCGGCAACAGTCACTTTCCTCTCGATCTCCTCTCGAAGTCTTCTTTCCAGTTCTGTGAAGAAATTGCCATTTTCCTGTGAAGAAGATACATCAGAGGCAACAACCATGGGTTCAGGTCTTCCCCTTGATCCTTGCGTATGAATCTCGTCCTGGAAAGTCGTGGCATTCATTCTGCAAAGGAAGCTTTGACCCACAAGAACGCCGTCTAGGTTTTTTGCAAAGATTCCAAAGTCTTTGAAGGCCTACAACCTCAGAGCGCCCTTGTAAAATCTTTCTAAAGCTATTTGTACTACTTTCAGAAAATTAGACAATCATTCCAATCCTTTGAAAGTAGAGGCATTGACCAAAAGGTGCAATACTCTTCATTGACCGATCATTACAAGGAATGACTACAATGATGCAGCCCATCGCCGCTGGCCATCCAGTTGAGAAGTCCGACAAGGCGACACAGTCTCATCGAAGCTAATTCAGCGCAGCCTTGCAATGGTGATATCGAACGTGAAAGGCGTTTCGTTATATGGAACTCCCTCATTCAAATTTTGGTTCGCCAATATACTCGTTCAGTAAATGAACATGACCAAACTATTGACTAGATACACTTAACTTTGAGATCACTTTATGTTTGCCGAAGTGTCAAGGGTAAATTTAACCTTGCTCTATGTAGGGTTGAATTACCCTGATAAACCACGTTTGTGAATACGGGTTAATCGTCTTCTGATTTGAGGTTCCCCTCAGGATTTGTTGATGAATACGGCTACATGAGGCTCGGTCGAGAGTTTAGTTAAGAAGTGGAAGGGCCACAATACGATGACTCTAGCGCCCGTTATCAAAATAATTTGATGATGCTCACGCGACGATTCAGAAGTTTTCTTCGCCTTCAATACACAAAATCTGATGCCAACTGGTCAGGAGGCCAAGAAGCGAGTCTGCTACAACTGCAGTTTTTTCCGAACTCGACTACTTTTGAAGTCAGCGTTTCGTCGGCTTTTTCGTCACGTAAAACGCAAAGTTGGGCTTCAAGTCGGATGAAATGATACATCATGGCGTATACCATTTTCCATGAAGCTCGAACAAGTTTCTGAGTGCGAAGCTGCAAGATGAAACGCCATAATTTTTGCATTAAATTGCTGTGACGTAAGTTGTGGTGGTCGCTCGCATATCAAGGAAGGAGTCGTGCAAGCGTATGCTAAGCTCAGGTCCGCGCCAATTTGCTAGGGCTTTCTGAGCAAAATGCACAGATTCAGATGTAAATTATCAGGAGCTCAAGCGGTCTACTAAGCCACTGCAGTCATTTCTTCGAGAATTTGATTCCGCCGGTATACTGCCTTCAAGGAGCTTCTGTTGATGTGAAGCCAATCTCCTACAGCCGTCCACTTCGCCGTACGTTACTTCAATAGCCAGAAAAATTGAATGCTGAATGCTCAGATCAAAGCTTTTGATAACGTTCAAGATACCAATTATTCTCCTCATGCAGTACTAGATTTGTTCCGTCTTGAACCGTTAAATGGGTCTAGGCTTTTTGGTATATATGATCTTCTCTATAATTCATTTTCTAGATGGTAGTTTTCACCCACTTTTTCTTCTAAATTTTGGTGCACTTCGAATGTAATAGACAAATGTAACGATAAATGTAAGACATTGTTGACACTATGTGAGCCCACATTGCTAGATCGCCATGTCAGCGATGTCTCGGACAAAAGCGGACAGGGCGATTAGCATGACCGCAATGCTTTCCACACAGGACGACCGTTGCGCGCGACAAATCCAGCCGCGGTTTTTGCCCAAGCGAAGCACAAGGGGTGGGAGAATCGCCGCATGCACGATGAGTTGAGACAAGTCATCAGGCTGTGGAGGCCGCCCGTACGAAAAGACACAAAAAGGGAAATTTGAGCTGGGATTTGTGAAGAACATCGAAGGTGATGCAAGGGTTTGAAAGAGACGAGTCAACAACTGCTTAGGATGAATCTGCTCTTGTGTAATGCACAGCCTAATTACCAAATTCATTCATTAGCGTCCTTATAGCAGAGGATACGTTAGTAAAGCCAGTTCACTCATGGTAAAAGGGTCTCAAACGCAAACACCAGTCAAACTGATATCGCATTCTCATCCGACTCAGTATTGTGATATAGTATCCGTTCAAGGTTAAGCTATAATAACTTCCCAGCTCGTCCTTGTTTTGAATCCCAGGGTCAAGTTTTGAGACTTTAGTCTGTAAAAGATTAGAGAAACTGTAGGAGATTAGAAATCGTCCAAGATTTGATATTATGAGTCACTCGTTTAAAGCGAGTCAATGAAGCAGAAGCTAAAGGAGAGAAATGCATTCAATTGTCTCCAGGCTACCAAGCGATTGAAGCCGCCTTCCTATCTTACTATCATCCTCTTCCGCGTCGTCAGATATCCCCTATCAATAAACCATTTTATATTGTCTAGCCGAATTTCTAATAAAGAACGTTATTCCACTGTGTCCTCTAACCGTCTTAGCCGCTCACACGGCGCGACATTTACTGGTAGCAGCAAGTGGTTTCAATCTGCCGACCTCTGGGTTATGGGCTCAGCAAGCTTAGACTGCGCAATGTTTACTAGCCTAACAAAAGGTGTGAGCTAAGAAGATCTTGGGATGTCTCCGTCCAATTTCTGAATTTTGACTTTTCATTTGACTGTAGAAGAGAAGCGGGTAGAAGAGATGGTGTTTTGATGTGTAAAACTTATCGAACTAAATAACAAGTGATCATACTTGCTCAATGTGTCAAATGAACATTTGAACAAATAACTTTATACTGAAGGAAGCAATGAAATCAACAACATTCCATAACGTCCATATAAAGGAATACAATATGACAATGTACATAGTATGATAGAGATCGTGTGAGTACTCAATGTCACGGAAACTGCACTTCCCGCCATTCGAGGAAAAAGCAGAAGTCAAAAACGCAGCTGAACTGTCATACTACGTAACGACCAAGGGAATAATGTTGGTGGGGAATATTAGTAACAAGTATTAAAATAAGGAAATTAAGTGCAAGAAATAAGTTTTCTCTTGTGTGCACTATTTCCCCGCAATTAGTTCGCTAGAAAAATAAGAAAATTATCGAGTTTTACTAATTAGATAGCATTAGTAAAGGATGAGTGAATAGACCTAGAGCTATGTGAGAATGAGGGGCTTGACCAGTTGTCTTCTTTACCGCTTCCACAAGGCCACGGCTTGCTATTTTTGATTTTTGGGATTTTTAAGTTTTGGATTTTCAGCAAAAGGGTTGGCACAGCCTGGACCATGCTTTCGGCGGTAATGAAGACTCGAAAAAAGGGTCGTCGCGCCCCTACGTATCTTTGGAAGTGTCATAGTCTGAGTGGGGAAGACGGAACGAAGTTGATTCAGACTATCTACGTTGCTCTAACTCTAGACGGGGGGTGGGTGAGTGGCCCACTCCTCATTTCATCTACAATACATCTACAGATATGTCATATATTAGAATTTTTGCTCGTTGGCTGCTCCAGCTGGTGCATCGGCTACCTTGGCCGAGGTGTGAGATCGAACAAACTCGTCCTTAGTCCATTCGCAAGGCTCACCCGTTATATAGTAACAGAAAACTGTGTTTGTGATTACCTGAAACACAACCACATTGACCTAGGGTAAACCATACCCTAACCCTTTACTTCGGGTAAAAATAAACGAACCAGAACAGCTGAGGTGAAAAGGAAGACATAACCCCATTCGTCCTGAGTATTGTTTGGAGTGAGGAAGTTCACAACAAATGGCACAATCAACATAGTAGTCGTAATTCCCAGAGAAATGTTACCAGTGACGAAATGACTGAAACAGGAATTATAACGATTTTATTGGGTGGATCCGAAAAAAATTAGGTACCTATATTGCTTAGAGATCACAGGACCAGCTTTGAAGAAACCACCCGTGGTTGCTCCCAGAATGCCAGCTGCAACTCCCAGCGTCATCATGTTCACATTCTAAAAAATACTTTTTTTCAGAAATTTTCAAGATGAGTCTCGCTAAAACCAATACCTTGTACTCATCACCCATAAAAGCCAGAATAACCAAAAATACCGTAGCTCCGTAGAAAGCAATTGAGTTGAAAAGTCGGTACTTGTTCTTTTCCGAAAGGAAGTGAATTCTGTCGGAGACCGCACCTAAAATGATCAGTCGTAGAGTAGAACAGCTATTTTTTTCGAGCGAGAAAAATTCTTTTTTCTTACCACAAATCAATTTGCCGGCGAATTGAGCAAATGGAGGAATAGCTGAGGTAAGACCAGTTTTGTGTACAGCAAATCCCAACACTAAAGCATTTAAAAATTACGTCAAGTCAAGAAACGAATGAGGTTGGACTGAATTTACCAGTTGATAGATATTTGGGAGAGAACAGGAACATCATATTGACAGCGGTAAAGTTACCAACAGATGAGATCCATACGGCCCAAATAGCAGGGGTGGTGAGAATAGCTTTGTACGGAATGGCTTGCAGAGCTTTTTTGCTGAAAGAAATAATGTTTCAGTAACCTTGCTGTCAAAAAATAATTAGCGCAAGATTTTTCTAAAGCGGCAATTTTCAGTGTCGCAGAGCGTCCGACTAAGATAGTATGTGCTTTGAAGAGGCAGCAGACGGTAAGAGAGGTGAGAGTGCGCTTGATGAGAGACGCCGATACCGTCCGCAACGGCACTCTGTCTCTGCGTGCGTTGAATCGCCTATGGTTTATAGCTCATCACTTGTTCAATCGTACGATGCTGATTTTAGCACTTTTTTGACAGAATGACAGCCCAAGACAAAAATCTGTAAAAAAAAATTCCACTTTGGCCGTAATAAAGGAAATTTGGGTGACTTTCGCGACACAAAGACCAAAGAGGTGGCAATCGTAAAGTCCATCACTATATCTTCCGGTCAGGACCAATTTAGATTTTGATGATGTGGTGCAGTATTTACGATCGGGATGATGGTGATTTACTAGTTGCAGTTTGGTGTTTACTTTTGCAAACACACACTTCCACCAATCGTCATTCTGATTTGGGAAATTGCCAGGAATCGCAAAATCTTTACTCTTCTCATTAGCTGGGGGTATCAGTGGCAAAAGCAAAATGTCGAGAGCGGATTATAGCGCAAAGCTTACTGTAACCTGAAAATCCGTAACACTAACAGATTTTGCGCCAGTTTTCGCCGATTCTGACCCTGAAATCGCAGCGTAAACTCAACTCTATGCCACGAGTCGTAAGTTTACGTGGATTTTATGACAATCGTAAATAAACAGCAATGTGCGGCTCTGTTTGACAACTTCTTTTCTTCTCGAATAATGCTGGCGCTTATCATTTCCCTTTGGCTGTTGTTGTGTGCCCGCTCTGACCTTAGTGATCATGCGCAAGCATACCAAGGCTATTTTGGTCTATACAAGGAAGGAAAAATGTCACAAAAGGGTTAGAGAGACTTACTCAACGTTGCTAGCTTTTCCAATACTGATCTTGCGCAGCTCAACATTTCCAACGAATGGGTGCTTTCCGGGAGAGTTACGGTAGAAAATGCCGTAGGTAAGGAAGAGAAATAGCGAAACAGCACCATGGGCATAGAAGATCGATGGCCATCTGGAAAAGAATTCATGGGAGTAAGAAACTCGGCAGAAAATTTACACCGGAAGAATATGTTAATATAATTGTTCAGCCATTTGTAATTAGTGTGCTTTTGCACGCCATGTGTGCTACTTGACGACTTGTCAGAATAGAATCAGCTCATTTCTAGTGAATTTCTCTTATTTTCTTGCCTCTTTTGACTTAAATGGATATATAAGTTAGTGATACACATTTCTACAACTTGTTTCGCTAGAAAAGGCATTACTAAGGAGTCACTAATAAGGGTGCCGTCATTTGCCGTGCAAAGTGTGCAGACTCACACATTAATTCACAAATGACTCTAATATGTATCTAAGCAACTAGTATCTGAAACCTGGGTTTACGGCAGAGTTGTAAAAAAATCAGTCATTGCTCAAAATGTGTGTATAAAATGCTTCACTTCATCATTATTTTATAGAACTCCATCTCAAAAAAACTTTTTTTGTCTAAACCTGGATTTTTTAGTGCAGGGAATTTTTTTGAACCCTACGATGGGTCTCTGGCTCTACCCTTCACATTCTTTCGCCTTTTCCTATACTAAACTGATTAGACAAGGTACGCTGCTAGCTTGAAGGTCACCAACAATGCGATATTACAATTCTGCGGTAGCAATGCTATTTCTGGACAACGTAAATTTGCGGACTTTGCATTTGAAGCCTTCTGCTTAATCGAAAGTACGAAAAAATTAAGGCCGGGTTTGTACGTTACCGGAAGTCTGTCGCTCACTTATTTGCAGCCGATTTTTTACAAGGATTTTTTTCTTTTTCTGGTTCCTACTTTTTTACCAGTTAACACTTTCACTAACTTGAAAGCAGTGCAAAGAGCACCAGATGCAGGCATAGTAAGAGCTGGGGCCAGTTGTACGTAGGCTACCAAACATGACACAAACAAGCCACTCTAGAAAAAAACATTACTCAAAAATTTGTGATTTACAAAATTCGATTCTAACCTGTTTGAAGTAACTCCACTTAGAGCAGAAAGATCCGATGACAGGGAAGTTGGCAGCAAATGCGATACCTTGAAGGAATCGGGCGAGAAGGAAGTAATAGAATCCGGCCTGAAAATATAACTAATTTTTAGGTTTCCAAAAATTGCTCTGCTTAGATTCTGAGTAAAAAACACTAGGCTCAGAGGGATAACGAGTATCCAAGAAATTCAGAAACATCAGTTGGCATTTTCCTCCGATAAGCTCATAATTTTTACACAACAATGACCACCCGGGCCCCCTTCAACTCCGAAAAAATCAACTTACCCTGATAGTCGAAGGAATCATGAGTGTAGAAATGGCACTAAGCAGGCCAAGTCCAGCAAACACTGTTCGAATGCCAACTTTGTTCACAATCGACACCACAGGGAAGTTGCCAATGAGGGCTGCAATGGCCACCACGGAGATAGCCCACGATTCTTGCGCTGAAAAAATTACGATTTGGGGCTGTTAGGTAAAACTGAGAATCATCGTTGAATTATTTCTTCGGATTTTATTTCGAGTCATTAACTCCGGTGAGAGCATGATTTGTTTTCGCTGAAGTTTTTTTCGCACGAGATTAATCGCCAGATTGAATGAGGCACAAACAAAACCAGAATTTACGAGCTGACAGTAAAATAGTCAAAATTTTTCACGTTCTCGTTTTATAGCGAGTTGTCTTCTCCACTTGAGCCCCCATGACAAATTTTAGCGAAAAAGGTCAATTATTTTCTACTGTCCAAGTGGAAGCGCCCAAGCAGGGTAAGGAAGTATAGACTCCAAAAATTACTCGAAAAAAATTGTAGGGGGAAATCGCCAAAGAATATAGCTGACTTCCTAGCAGATCGGGTTTGTAAACCACATCTGCATATAATTTGCATATTATAATTTGCATATTTATGCACACCAATATTTGTGAATCTAATCAGGTAAAAAACATTCGAAAATTTGCGATAAATATGGAAACTGTTGATTATAAAAAAAATTGTCTTTAATATGAACGAGAAAGAATGTGAGCGAAAATAAATTGGAACGCAAAATTAGTGGAAGACTTACGGTTCTTCAGAACTTGCCAAAATGTTGTATTTTTTTAGATTCGATATTTTTATGCGCCAAAAACAAACGCTTAACACGAATTCTCATCTAAAGAAGAAAAATTGCCCCAAGTACTGACAAAGGTTTCAAAAACACTTTGTTGAACAGCACAAAAAAATGTTTCGTTCAAAATGATATATAGAATTTTTATGTAACTCACACTTTTTGATACCTTGCCAGAATTTTCCTAAATGTATCATTTTTTGCGGCAAAAATCCCAAAATCCCGCAATTTTTCACTCAACCCGATCTCTTTCTTGATCCAAAGATCTTCAAAATCTCCTTGATCCCGTTGTCGATGTAATGTTCTCCCCGTTTTGGTTGTGGTATGTGCCGGTAGAACGAGAGCGATGATCGTTCAATCGACCATCAATCAGCTGTAGGTAGCACTGTGACCGGTGCACCACATCCAACACACACTATCATACGGATTCGACTCGCGCGACCCCCCACCAATTACAGCGAGAAAATCGCGCTCTCGAGCTAGGTGGTGAGAGAAGAAAGATCGGCATCGAAATTATTCTCTGTATTCCCCTTTCGGAACCAAAATGTTTTTGTCTCCGCCCCCCCCCCCCCTTCCCTTCTGCTTCATCCAAGCCTGAAAGAGAGAAAAAAGTGAATACTAGAACAAACACACCACTTGTAAATTTAGTGTCAATCGATTGCAATACATTGGTTCCGTTAGCAGTCGACTCCTGTGCCATGCAAATCAGAGCGAAGTTGAAGGTCAGGATGTTGGACCTGAAAAAACATTCAGTATAAGATTTATACAAAATAATTTATCACTTTTATCTTTATTTTTATTTTTTCATCTACATATCATCAAATATTTGTCAAATTCCATATCCCGAGGTTGTTTCTCGCAAAAATCTTCGGTTCTTAAGTAATCTGAAAAAAAACACCCTTCTGTACAGTCGGGTAGCTATTAAGGACTTTGAACCCACTCAAAAAACTTCGAATTTTCTACAATCTGGGCTTCGAGGTTACAATCACCTTATGCCATCCCCCTTCCGCAACATTCTGTGGCAATTTTCATTCTCGAAACTCGGCTCCAAAGCTGTTTCTGAGACTTTTGTTTCTATCTTAGACAAACCATTTCTCTTTATGACGCTGATACGCCAACTCTTTTGTTCTTTTGTTTCATTTGACCTAAGAATGACGAGATGGTCATCGTTGTATTATACCTTCTTTGCTTGAAACAAAGCAATGAATAATTGTTTTTTCTTCGTTAAGGAAAACGTTCTCGCAGGAAAGGTTGAAGAGAAAAATTCCTTTAAATGCCAATACTGTTTCCGATGTTCCTTTTTGGAAACTGTATGATTTCAAGCCATAAAAATTGCTTAATGTATGAAACATACACGCCAAAATTTCTCCGATTCCTTCTCAGGCTATTACATTTCCAGAAGTAAAAGTATATATAAGTCACTGCTCTATCACTTGCTTTTCCAGTCCAGAAACCCCCTATGCTCCATTGCTCATCAATAAGGTATTCGATGCTATAAAACCGATGCAGCAACCTTTTAGAAGCTAATGAAGCTTGTAATTGTCTGAATTGCTGGCTCATAACTAAATAAACTGATGGAGAAGGTCAGAAACGGGAATTTTTTGCTCGGATGCAGATTAGATTTGACCTATTGCATATTTGCGTCATAGAAAGAAAAATACTAAATAATTGAGGTTTAGCTGTAAAAATCTTGAAAATGGGGAGGAATTAGGATGGATGATCTTTGTGTAGGGTGAGGCGCTTAGGTAGATTCCAAAGTTCCCAATCAGGCTAAGAGATCCTGATCTTGACACCTATTCGCCGAATAACTGACAGACATATCTCATTGTCAGTGCTAGAAAGCCCCCATAACAAGTCCCCGGGATCTGATCACGTCATCGGGTATCGCTTGCTCGAACCGGGTTTTCCCTTATACAAAACTGCCGCGCGAGACAAAATCTTTATGCCCCCCCCCTTCCAGCATCAATTCGTCGTGATCAATGAGCTATGCTATATGTGGCGACAAACTGTATCGCTTACTCTCTTGTTTTCAGAGGCCAAAACACGATTTCAAACATGGACATTGGTGGTCGCAAAGGCGTTCTGGTCGGGTAGATTTATTCTGGGTATGGTTAACATGCAAATCTAGCGCTTGGGTTCGCTTCGAGGGTAAAAAACTGGATTCGACCATGTTTTTGTTTTGACTTCGGGAAGATGGAGGCAGCACGCTTAGGCCCTATTGTCACTGTTACTATGATGGATAACCATTGTCAGGACCTAGGTAGAGCGGAATAGTGGAAATGGTCATATCAAACCCTACCTACCAACTTTTTACAATATAATAAGTACAAACTTCGCCAATAATCTAAAAACTTATCAGGACAAGTCATATTTCTCTCAGAAGTGACAGAAATCACCAGGGCATAGCTTGCTGTAGCACTTTGTCATATGATCCTTTTCATTATTAATTGATAGCCCTCATTTCGGAAATGTCGAAATATTCGCACTATGAGATATTCTTAGAAAGAAAACCCGTTTTAGGTAAACATCCGGTTCGAAAAGAAAAAAAATTGATCTGTTTTTTTGTAAATTTCAAACCAGTAAGGAAAGGAAATGACGTTTATTCTTGATGAATCATCTTTTTTTATGTCTGAAAATTGTCGGAAGAGATCAAAAAGGTTCGACCTTCCACAGAAAAATTTGAAGTCAAAAGACTTTTTTTTTGCAAATTTGGCCTTATATGACCTCTTCCCTCCGCTTCCTTTGATCTTATAATTGAAGAGGTCAAACACGGTATAATAAAAGCATGAGTATCTTATCAACAAACATCAAGGTCCAGTGACGATGCCTGGTTATTACAACGTTACCTGCTATACCCGACTCGGCTATGTTTATGAAGTCATTAACTGACCATATATAGTAAGAATTTAGTGTAAGAATTTCGTCTGCAAGTGAGTAATTCCTATTCCCATTCCGCAAACAGCCCTTGGTAATCAAAAACCAAATGAAAAGCAAAGGAATTTGTTTCTCTTACCATGAACTTGTTAAGCAGAGCAATACCATTACACAGACGGCAAATCGAGTTCTAGTACCGAATAGTGCAATGTAATCGGAGTCTGGGTCACTTTGTGGCCAGAAAGATGGCATGATGAAGTGCGCTTTTCTAGAAGCAGGTAGAATCTTCAGTCGAAAAAAAGCGAAAATGCTCGAGATCGGAAAATAGGATGGAATGCCTGAAATGGGCAGGCCCGGGAAAGGTTTCAAAGTAAGAATTTGAACATTCAAAAGGGATGGAAGGTTCCGAAGGTTGGTTGAAGTGAAAAGCATATCTCTTGTTTCTGGTGTTTTGAGAGGATATAAAAATTTATACAAGAATTACAAAAAAAGCTGGGATTGGTGAGAATTTCGGATTGAGGTAAACGGATGAGCATAAAAATTATTTTTTCGAAATTCTAAAAATGGTAAACGATCAAAATATCGAAATAGGACGAAAAATATCCGAGTTTCATCTTCGATGTCTGAGATGGGTGAGGATCAAAACATCGAAATAAAGGAATGTTTCAGCCAGACTTTCTCTTCTTAGAAAATTTCAAAACTCGGCAAGAAAAATAGGTGTTGGCTCCATATCAACAGCTAGTTTGGAGGAAGAAGGGGGGGGGATTTGAAGAGATATAAAAAACTGAGCTTTTCTTTTTTTATCCGAAAGAATAAGAAAAGCATCCGTGGATAAAGGAATTTTTGGAAGTTCTTTCTGTTTGAGTTTTGAAACAAAGAGGTAATGGTCCTATAACGAAATCCGAATAGAGGGTGGGGGTACATGAAAATAAGGGCCTTTCTTTTTTTATCTAAAAAATAGAGAAGTAGAAAAACTATCAGTGGAAAGGGCGAAAGCAGTACTGTTTCTTTCACCAACCTACTCGATCACCGGCATTATATGTATGCCGGGTGATGATAGAGTAAAGAGTATCACACAGTGTAGGTGGGTGGGGCGGGTTCTTGTTAGTCGCGACCCCCCCACCCTCCCCACCTCTCCATCGGAGAGCGTGTGCCCGAAAAAACAGATTATACCCGCCTTTTTCGACGATATTCACGTGATCTCTGTATGGCTGATGAGACGGAGACGTCTGTTCATATCGTAGAAATTTCGAGAAACAACAAGCGTGTTGTGATGTTTGTGATGAGACGTCAAGTTTTTCGAATGAAACGGAAAAGGAAGTTTCCGAAGTGACAGCAGTGATTTCTGATTGATTTCTCATGTAATTATTGAGCTTTAGTGGGTGAAAGAACTTCTGGACAATTTCTGGACCCTTAGGTTACGAAAATAGATTTCAATCGAAATCATCTTCCTTAGCGCTTTAGATTTTAGGCGGACCGTCTGTAGGTGACATCATTTCCTACACTTATGGCCCGAATATGAGATAACTTGAGCCCATCAGATTCAATTTTTCAGGCGCTTCGATTCCCGTACCGATATTCAAACTCCGCAATCCAAGAACGGGATCGCTATGTAACTTTCGAACTTTTAAAAATGACGGTCCGTTCTTTGGGTCCTCAAGTTCTTCAGATTTCAATAGACTAGGTCTACAAGTATTCTGCCAAGAACATTCTGTTCGCGAACAAAGCGCAAAGATTATGTTGTCTGGCAGGCTTGTCTAATTTGAACCCATCACGTTTTGAGTAGAAAAATAAATAGAATTTCTGTTGCAATTAATCCCGCCGATGTCTCGCGGAAGTAATAAGGGTTGTAAATAAGTTCTCAAGTTCCTGATGGCTGGAAGATCAGTTTGAATGAAGGCTCCGCCTATAGACTTCTCATCCCATTTGAAGTAGAGCAGGATTTTCGCGGTAGAGCACAACATCATCTATGACAATTAAAATTGCTGAGGTTATTGTACTCAAAAGCAAGCACTTTGATCCAATTGTGATTCAAAATTGTTCACCAGGTTTGTACTGAGACGGACAACTAGCTTGGCTTTCAAATTACTAGATAATATGGATTATTAGATTATTTTAACTGAAAATCACCCGCTTTTACAAAACACCTTGACTCACTTTCTGTCAATAGCGTTTATACTCCCAAAAATCTTACCAAACGCTCGTCAAGCATAGCAGGACGAGAACCAGGACGACGAATCTGGTCCTCGTACCAAACGGAGTGTAGTGATCGTCATCACCACTAGCCGCAACGTCGCAAGAGAATACCTCTACCATGCTGCAGTTTTACCCTGTAAAAAAATTACGGAAAAATTCTAAAACTATTAGACGAACGCCATTGAGAACAGATTCAGATTTTTTAAGAAGTTTTTTTCGAATATTTGCTCTTTAGAGCGTTCAAAGGTTAAATTTCGATCAAAGTCGACACTTGCCAGATGGTGAAGCCTATTTAGAAATTTCAAAGAAATGTTAAACCACAATGGACGATGAGAATAGACCTCGAGGTTCAAATATGTTGAAATTTTCCCGTTTGGAGCGTCTCAAATGTTTGGTATTCGTTCAAAATCGATAAATTCCAGTTGATGATGTCTATTTGAAAATTTCGTAAAGAATTGGACAAGAGAGGCTAACGGGAACTGTTTATTTATTAGCCTTTTCGTTTTTTCGATTTTTGAGCTCTGAAGGGTTTGTTTTTTTTTTTTACAAATATTCTATTATTTTAATGAGTTCCAATTCGTCAAAAGAGCGAATTGTAACAAAAATTGGAGCTGGTTAAAGGCTTATGAGCGTCCCTATGATTACTTCAGATTTTTTTCAAGGAGGCTAATACAGAAAAATGTAAAAAGGCTTTTTCCTAAAAATTTTCAAGCTCAAAATAAGTGAATTTCCTATCAAAAGATTCTAAATAATTTCTGTTTCTAGGCAGAGGAGAAAACAAATGTTTGTGTCAACGCTGTTCCGTTCGTCGCTTATGTAGAGTATTGCAAACTTATGATTACTTCATACATATTCATGAAATCAGTGGTAACACACTCTAGAGGTTTGAGATTATCAGTGTGTTCTGAAATTATAACATCTTTTTCTAACGCCGAACCGATTAGCTCACAAATAAACACTGAACTGAAAGAACTCCAGTTTGAACTGTTTGTTCTCTTGCGCGATTGTAAAGTTGTAGAGAAGGAAAAAATTTCTTAGAAAGCTTCTAATATTGTTTTCACTTCCTCATTGTCTACCGTAATGAAAATTTTCATAACCTTTTGATCTTCTAGTTGTTTCAACTCTTTTACGATATGCCGATAATCCCTCGCCGAGTGAACACCCCACAATGCATGTTCTATGAGTTTCATCAAAGTTGACAAAATCATAAAGTCAACAGGGCGAAGCGAAGCCACTACTGAATACACAATCCAACCGGGAGCAGATTCTTTTTGGGACCGAAAAAGTGGAGTTATCTTGAGCTAGTCTGCAAATAGTTTCAGGCGAGCTAAAATTAGCACCAGGCTGGTGCTCATTCATCAATCTCCTCGCGGAAGATTTGGGTTGTGTGGATAAATTCGCTCGCACTTTTAAAAAACCTTTCGGAAACTTTTCTTTAACTTTCACGGAGCCAATGAATGCAGCCCAAAACTATTCCTGCTTATTGGAAGGTCCTGCTTGATTTGCGCAAACGTATCGTATGTCTCCTTCAATGATCGGTTTAGGGAAGCCCATATTTGGCATTTCTTTGATTGCGTTTTTTTACGGCATCTCAAGAACAAGTACAATGTATGCGGTACTGTTTGAGAAAAATGCTCAAGAAGAAGTATCAAAAAATTTTTTTCTGCGAATCTGAAAATAGTGAAAAGAAGGATGCAACAATATAGGTATTTTCAGAGCATAGCTTGCTGAGTATAATAGGCTGCTGCATAAGTTCTGTCCGATTTTTGCCTTACGTTTGAAGCAGCTGTTCTTAGAGAATCTCATCTCTAATGCGGTATCGTTACTATCCTTAGAAAGTGCTTTTTTTGCTTTTTTCTAACATGTCAAGTTTCAATAAATTTCTTAGTATAAGAAGATTTCAGGCCTAAAATCTCCAAGTGGCAGAGGTACGCTCTCACCCTAGAAATTTGCTCTTGCGAGGAAATCTCAACAATGCGCCCTTCAAGTCAAGTTCTTTCATTGGTTGAGGATTAAGGGTGTAGAAAGCTAGTATATGCAGAAGCCCAGTTCCATGAAGAAACGTCTGCAATAACTTTCTGCGAATAGAAGTAATTGATGAGTTCAAGGTTGGAGGTGCTAGGTTAAAGCAAGAACTAGCAGGGCTCATCCACTAATACCTTTTCGGTGTTCACGTCATTTGTAAAATTTTCATAGTTCGTAAATAGGGCATGCACACATGGGCTAGAGCGCGGTCAAAAAGTGGCATCTTTTTTGCTCGGTCAAAAAAATCTCTCGGCAACGCAGACCCCATGGCCTCTTTTATGTTGCGAAATAATCTGCGAGTATCTTGGATCTTAGAAAAAAGTTGACCGTGGAAGAAGTTATGACATTTTGAACTTAAAAAATTTAAATCGGACAGAACTTATGCAGCAGCCTAATACTTTCCATTACCTGTTTGTCTTTATTTAGGCTCAAGAACAAAGTAAGAAGATTTTTGAGCCTTCGTAGGGGCTTCCAAACGCACATATGCTTTCTAAAAACACGGCCAAAAGAAAGCTTAATCTAAAATGCGAACGAAATTGTTATGCAACATGATATTGGGAATCTCATAAAAGCTACATAGTCGTTCTTTAGGAAGCTTGTTTTTTTGCCAAGCTCTTCCCTAGCTTGAAAAGCTCGCGTACTCTTTCGGCAAGTTTTACTTCATAGTTTGCCTATGTACGCAGACAAGTTTTTCAATCACTTTCACTTATCGCTACAGAATTGAATTTCTGCAAAGGAGACACCTTAGGTATTATTTTGTTTATACTATGTGACCTGATGCGACCTTTATATCACTAGTGTCACAGTCTCTGAGCTAAATTTTCGACAACAATGTTAGACATTCTGGAATTTTCTGCAGGTAAAATATTAAACTGGTTTAAAAATATTTTCGTTTTCGAGTACAAATGTCCAAAAAACCTGTCTTGTTGTTTTTTACCAATGATTTTTTTGGAAAAAGTAGTTTAGAGCTTATACTATCAAATATCAACTACTCAGAATTTTCTTTATTGGTAAATGACTTTCATACCCAAAAATGGCTAAATTTTCAAAGCTCAATTTTTGCATTTTTAAGCTCCGTTTTCTTGCTGTGATGGAAGTAAGGATGACTACTTTGGTATTTGAATTATACAGTTTTCGCTATCTGGCAAATAACACCAGAAATTTCGTCCTCTTTTGAAGCTTCTGACAGACAAAAACGAGGTTTTATCACTTTTGCGTACAATGAAAATATTGGGGTTTCTCAATTCGTTGCGTCTTTACTTTAAAGGCAAAAAAATTCTACTCAAACAAACTTTACATTCCAATTTCCACTGAATCACTGTTCACTGCAGCAACTGTCAGAGCCGCAAAAGCTACACAAATGGTTCATTAGCCAAATTGATAACATCGTAGAAAACCCGGGAACCTTCTCTCTAAATTAACAACAAACCTACCCCATCACAGCAAAACTCACCAAAATTATCTGAACAGATTTGTAGCCAACGCTTCAACTACATATTTCGAGGATGTTAAAAGCAAAGTTCCCCGGCAGCTGTACAAATAAAAGAATCGGATAGATATTGATAAGGTCTCATATGATAGTTCGATCTCATTCTCCCCTGTCATTGTGAGGCACACTAGAGGGCAGTGGCGAAATGGGATCACCGATGACTAATTGTTAGCGATTTGTATTTTCTTTGAAAAGTGATGATCGTAAGAAAACCAATAGGATGAAAAAGTAATGGATCACCTAAATTCCTTCACGTTCTATATATACAACCACACTTACCAAAGTAAGGAACATTCGTAGAACTGATCTTCCCTATCTATACCCCCAATACTTCGCTGGATAAAGATTTGACATTTTTCTTCAGCCATTTGTAACCTCAAAGTTCTTGGTCATATGATATACTTCTTGCAAGGGTTGATTGTCCCTATGTCAGTATGAGTTCAGGAAACACAACCTTTTTGCCCACCAAAACATTTTTTTCAAACTTGATTTCCCAAAGTTGGCTGAAAATTATGGCCTGTAGTAAAGCTTGGTCAGAAGGGATAAACTTCCAGGAGGCCGCTTCGAGTTTCCTTCAGTAAAATGACGACCGCCCACTCCCCCACCTACAAGTATGTAACGTTATGCCTCAAGTCAAGTTCGGCAGAGAGGTCATCTCCCGATCAAATCATGGGAGATGATCCGCAATTCGCCGGACATGAATTTCCGATCGCCCTAACATCACCCGACCTCTCCGCCACTGCACCGCTGGATTTGGTCTTGTATTTCCATAAAGGTTACTGGAGCATATCACCATGACCGAATGATAGGGTATGGACTATTCATCAATGACCTTCCCGGATGCTGGACTGAGGCGCCAAGAGATCAACTCACGTTCTCCTCAGGAAGATGCTCTGGTCTGAGCTTACTACGGGTCTATATCTAGTTGCACACAAGACAAAGGACCTAAATCGAAAATCTCTGATGTTTTGATTTTTGCGAAACTCAAGTACGTTAATTCTTTTGATAGAAAACTACAACTTTTCTGTAAGTGCGACATTAATACTCTAATGCGGGATTAGTGCATGTTCTTCCGAAAACATTCTAAGCGAAATTTCTTCACAAACCTTGCCTTCGCGACAAGAGTTGTACACACATACAATACCGCTCACATTTTTTGAAAAAAAGACGCGAATGTATGGACATGTATGGACATGTACGGACATGTCCATACATGTATGGACATGTCCGTACATGTCCATACATGTCCATACATTCGCGTCTTTTTTTCAAAAAATGTGAGCGGTATTGTAAAGCTGTTTTTCTTGCAAATCCTCATGCGTATCGGCCCCGGCTTCCTTGGTTTTCTCTGCTAAAGTTTTGTTATTTCATAAGAAAGAATGTCATGATAGACTCTGTCTATCTTATTAAGGCCGCATACATTAATATCCTCCCTGGGGAAGGGAAGGCTACTTAAAAGAATTCGTGTTTTGAGACTTCAGTGTTCTGGATTTTACGCGGTGTAAATTCGCAAATGTTTCTACTAACTTTCACTATAAACGTGAACAGAACCGGGGAGATATACAGGCCACATTTTCCGGCTTTCTTTTATGATCCCGTGGTGATCCCGCGATGTCAATCGTCTTTTCTTCAAGGTCATTTTT